CTTCCTAGATTTTCAGTTCACGCTTCATTTGTCATATACACGACGATTTCACCCTTGAAATTGAATCGAATCCTCCATTTCTCACCAGTTTGTATTTGTCAGATGCTGATGGATGCGCGCTTATGATCAAGTGAATCCTATTTCCACATGCAATGATGTTTCCTCGAGTTTGTGGTTGTCCGGTTTTTTATTCCTCATTTTATACTCACCTCTCTCTCTTTCCACTTTTGACCAATTTGTTTCCGATTGTGTCATCCGTCGGGAAAGCGCCTCCTCTATGCCAAATACTTCTTTTCTCTCACTTCTGGACGCCGCGCGAGAAAATATCGTGTACCGCAATTCCGTCTGAACAAACTGCGTCATATCAAATGTTGGTTGACGTTACGATCTTATCTGAAAAAACGGGGACCACAGCGCTCTGTCGAAAATATTATTGTCGCCTCATTCTACATCGTGTTCGTGTTCGGTTTGGCATTGGGATCTCAGGTGAGCACGTTTGGTTGATGCAAAAACTGCACCAATACGTATGTGTGTGTGAGATAGAGAGAGTTTACATTTCTAACTGCGACCAATTAATCTCAGTAGAGGTGAATTTTCACTTGTTTTCTTTTTTCCCCTTTGTCTGGTGACCTTGCCGAATACAACACGATCACGTGACTTCGTATTGATTAATTCCGATTGTTGCTTGGGTAAACGAAATTTCGTCTTTCAGAGCAGGCAGCTAATTCACTTTGAATTGAACCGAAAATAAACTACAACGCCGAACTTGTTCACGCTGTTCGCGATTTCTGATATCCTTTAGAAGGAATACAATGTTGATTGCCTGGTTCATCTCAAGCGTTTCTATATTGTAGTCCAGTGTTTTGGGATTGTTTCCTTTTTCACTGATGCATGTTTGTCACTCTCTGTTCACATATTCTTCATTCATCTTTCAACTAACTGTTCAGTGCATGTCAGGAATAATCAAACCAGCAGATGTGTGGGTACAAACTGAGCGTGAATTCAATACATACATCTAGTTAACCTGCCCTTCACGCGGCACGACGAATCCGCAAATTTATCACCATCCAATAAAGTTCAAACTATCACCATCATTCATTCCGCTGTGTTTGTGTGCCGGTCACATCACCACTGATTTAGTCACTGATTCTATAGAAATCTCCCTCTCTGATTCTGCAATTTTGATTATTGTTATTCCACAATCGTTGCCAGAATCGTGTTATTTCACTGATAGGTTTACATACAGAGACAGCCCTCTCCCCACCCCAGAAACACCTGCATTGGGTGGTGGTGGTGGCGCAGTGGTTTAGTCGCTGTCACAGGCGTGCTTTGGACCCTATGGTCCAAGGTTCGGGCCCCGTCACCGCCACCTAAATTTGGTGGTAGGCAGCTTTACTGTCGTCCGGTCCAATACCACCTAACCTATCGGGGCCTTATGCGGTCCGCCACTCCAAGTCCCGAGGATTAGGTCACCGGTTTCCATCACTGAACAGCAGGTTCTCGTGACTATGGGGTTTACCCCGTCTGCTATTCATTACACAAAAGTGTGCAATAAAAAACTCGACACAGAATTGTGCGATAAATATACGGTAGATCACGGTTCCTTTGCCCTTCTCCTAGAACGGCGGCTATCTGATTCTGTTTTCTCTTACAATATCGTCTTTGTTTCAAAAATGCCTTGGCATGCTTCGAATGCCCACCCAGGTTTGAAATACACTCATGCACTTCGATAACTTTTTCCCCAGACGATAGCTGTTGTCCTGGTTCGTTTGCTAATATGTATGTGCAATAGTCCACGGCGCATGTTAAGATCAAGAGTCGTTGGGGGCTTGACAAAATTAGCTGCATGGTTCATTTTCTTATGGTTTATGCTTACTGTGTTCAATCGCCTATCGGAACTCTTTTGATGTGTCTCATTCTCGTCCGGTGTGGTACTACCTTTCACACCGTTGAATGCCCTCTCAGGCCGGGGCATTTTCCCTTCCAAACTCGGTTGTCATAGTTACGATATGTTTATCGCTTAGTTCCACGGTTATTGGTCGCTGAAACTCCCGCCTTTGCGTTCCCGTCGCTTCAGACGGTTTACTGCTGCGTTGGCTATGGTTAAATATGCGGCGTTTGTACTAAAATGTCTGACAGCGCATACGCATTATACATGCCCCTTATCTACTTGTGTGTACCTAATTTCTTACCAGTGGGCTTTTGCTATGAAACGGTATAATAATGATAATTCATACAAGGTCACCAAAGAGCCCATTCTCATTTCACTGCTCCTTCAGTTTTTTATAATTACTCAGTATAAAAACGAGCATGATGAGAATCGCCATGTCCAAGCCCCGCGTTACTACTACGCAGTAATTCGGATATCTTTGTGCAATAAAGAGTTCTATTCCCTAACAAGAATGCCTAATACTTCATCGACTATTCAAATAAATTTTCCACCCTTGCATTCATCAAATAAAACTACATGCGACCCCTGTGGTATAGGGGAAACTTATCTAATAATAATACCCTCACCTATCATGTAAAACGCATAAATGCAAGCTTTTACCGGCGGTTCTGTCAGAAAAGACGCGTTTGTAAAAGATGGATTTTAACCGCTGGGCATCATTGAAAAACGCATATTGTGTTATTTTCGCACTAGGACGGGTCACCTCGGAAATAATGTGGAATGATTGTAGCTCGGGATGTGTATGTTTGTGTTTTATGCGTGTTCTCCGAGCTGATAGTGTGGTTCGAAGATATTTCGTAGCCAGCCATCAGTTCCACTGATGATATTGCCTAGCCTGGCTGCGAAACGTATGCGATCGACACTTTGAGCTCGGTGAGCACACCAACAGCGGGTCGCATTTTACAGTCAAAAGTAAACCAACCTTATCTGCTATTGCAGCTTCGGGTTTCACGCCTTTTCTCTTTTTCATGTGAGTAATGGAGGACCTGATTAAATTTCAAAATTTCAAAACCACAACTTTGAAACAAATGGTTCTATCAGCTCTTGGACAGGCATCATAACAGATGCTTCGAAATGCCTTCCACCAGCTGTATTCTAAACATGACTAACGGAAATTTATCAGTATTTGTCTTCTGGAAACCGAGGCATGGCCTCGATCCCACTAGGGACGCAATGAAAGATGCGCTCCATATTGTGCGCATCAGCTAAGCTGAAGGCGTGTAAAATCTCTTAGTCGTGATCTTCATCAGGTCCCGCACCTATACATGCATCAAGCCAATTCTCATCACGACTCCTTTGAATGGGGATATCAACAACGTTGAAACAATTAGATCCCTCGAGGAATTTTTCCTGTCTAACTGCTTTAATAGAACAACAGATGAGTATTTTCTTTGGTAAGCGCCATTACTCACCTGATGTTTATGTACGGAAACTAGTGAAGGTCACGATTGGTTAGCATTTAGAGATTTTCGCATGCCCCATATGGGGCGCATTTTTCACTTCATCATTAAGACGATAAATGTCGTCCTTCACTTGTCGGGATTTTTTCTCGGGGGATCGAGGTTAACTAAATTCGATTGATTCTGTTAGGAATCGCATTTAAAATCTTCAATTATTATTCAAGGGTGCTTTGTCCCGCCATTCCTGTTCTATTTCGTTTTACATGAACTGATGAAGAATAAACTAAGTGGTCTCAAAGTTCTGTTGTTAAGTGGGCAGCTGAAGAAAAACTGTGCGATTTAGAGTACACTGATGACATTGTTTGTTTGTTCGAATGTAAAGAGGATGCGCAAAACGGACCTGACAGACTAACAAGTTCTGTAACTCCATTCAATATGCGTTTTGCTCCTTCAAAGTGTAAAGTGACGTTGAAAGACTGGGCGTTGTTCTCTCCGGTTCTGATGTTTGATGTCCAGGAATTAGTTATATCGTGAGTTGCTTCTTCCATTGAGATTGTTATCTGGTAAATAACAGTAGCATAGTGACTGCCCGCATTTCTAAGGCTCAAGTTGCGAAAACAGGACTAAAACAGAAGCAGATGTGATTTTTCTATGAAATAGAGAGGTCGCGTATACTGCACGGTCAACTCTGCCTTGTGGTTACAAAACCTTAATTTTCCCGTGGAAATCATCCAATTTCAAGAAGTCTTCCATTATTGATGTTTACTTAGTGTGGTGCATGTTGGATGGGGCGAGGAGTTAAGCAATTCTGGGTAACTCGACGTGTGGTTTGGGAATGATTCGATGAAATAGTCCTCACACCGAATCCAGGTTAGCAAGCGTTGCTGGTTAGGACACGTATTGTGTATGACCAGTTGTCTGCCGCTCCGGGATGAATAAAATTGCGTAGAGGTCAACAGATGACGTGGAGACGAGGCATGAAGGAACGCACACAGCGATCATGTAAAGATTGGGAGTCTTCCGCCTTCTTGGTTGGAGAAACTGGAGGACAGAACAGCGAATCGACATCAGTGGCGTTCTTGATGTCACTTCTTACCCAGTCAGGATGATTAGGAAAGTGTGTATGCCTTTTTTCTTGCACGAAAGTGAATACAGTAAAATAAGTGAACCCCATAATCCAAGGATATACTGTACGTGAGAAGGTAAGGGGAAAATTCAAGCTAGAGCCAGCTTGTTGATTCTGCGTTTAAAGGGAAAGATGTACGTTTGAGGTAAAACTGAAAGTCTTGTGAATGATGAAGACAAGGTTAGTTTTCATACACCCATCATCGGATTGCATCAACCTGGAGGAGATGAAAAAAACGGACAGGCTGTTCACAATGTTCACTTGGATTTTTGCCGGTATACAGTAAATGTTTGATCCACCAAGTTGATGTTCTGTATTGTGATTGTCAGTTCGTTATCATCTATGTATGTATTGCTGTTACACTTTGCAACATATTAGAATTAGTTCATTGGCACCACGTGATGACAACGTCAGATGTTTGCTTGTCGCGGCATGCATGTGCATTTTTTTATTCGACTTGTTTACAATGTTCGTGATCGCGTTTATCGATTTACTTCACGGTTTGTCAGAAACCTTGAAAATTCTATCGACACAAGCATGGACACAATTTCCATTGTCTCACAAAATATCTACTCTCAGGGCTATAAAGTATCTCTCCGAGTATATTTTGATTTCGAATATGACATCAAACTGCTTGTTACCTTATTTNTATTTCACATTCTGGGTACCGTATGTTTTGTGATCCCGCGTCCATGGATCAGGCATTAGTTGTCTTATCGACAAAAATTAGGAAATAACGAGGTGTTTTTGCCTGGTGTCAAAATTGCCGCTGCTACTTGTTCTGCCTTCATTGTTCCCATTTGGTGCGGGGGACG